GTGAGCCTCTGCAACTTCTGCAGGTGTCACAGATAGGGAGCCTGAGCCCCTGCATCTTCTGCACCTGTCGCAGTTCGGGAGCCTGGAAGCTGCCACTGCCCAGCCCGGATGGAGCAAGTGTAGTTGGTAGGGGGGGGGTGGCTAGTAGTAGTAGGAGTAGTAGTAGTAGTAGTAGTAGTAGTAGTAGTAATCAGCAGCAGCAGTCGTCGGCGTCATCGAAACAGCCAAAAGTTGGACTATACAACACCGGAGCAGGGACGAACGGCGGGGACCAAAAGCGGATGCTTTGTAAAGTTTGCAAAATCGCTTCAAACAGTCTTTCTGAACAAATATGTCCAGCATCTAGGCGCGGGCATGAATCGGCGGCAACATTACGCAAAGCCAAGGATGACATTCGGAATGGCTGAGGCGGGGACTACTTGACTCTGCATTCGTCTGGTCAGGACGAACCTGGATGCAGGACGATGCACAGCACGGGGGCATGCAATGGGACGAGCTGTGGATGCAGCCGGAGGATGTACCTATGCGCAACGCACGTGGTGCCTAAGTTCCACTTCGCGAACATCCCACTGCTCAGTCTGTGGAGCACTCGCCCGGCTCTTTCCCACACAGTTCTGTCTGACCTGCAGGCCTGAGCTTCCATTCGGCTCCAGGACAGGCTCAATTCCGCAGCAATCTCACAGGTCAGCACGCAATTTCCCGGGTTGCTAGCTGCGTTTTCCTTTCTTCATCGCCGTGCTGTATGAGCTGCGACAAGATGCAGTTGAACCTTTGGCGACTCTCCGTTCAGGCCGAACAACTGAGCTCTCACGGCCGACGGTATCTGACGTCTCGAGGTTCCTGCACGGCAAGTATAGACCCGGGATCATCTGAGTAGATGCCCAAGACCTTGTCATGATGCATTCTTTGGACCTTCTGCGACACTTGCCCCTGCGACATCTGCGCTTCACTTGAGAGCGCTGCTCTGTACCGTGTGTCTGGGAAGTAGTCGTTTCTGTTGCTGAAGACAAGCCTGGCGCCGGTCTCCTGCAGAGACTATTCGGCAGCCAGCGTGCGGTTGTATCCGGCCTATGCATGCTCTGATGGGAGACTCAAGCTGTCGCCGCCCTTCATGCACGTCAGGAGGCTACGTCCTTTTGTATCTCATCTTTGGTCGAGCCGTGAGAGCCTGGTCGATCAATACACGAGAAGGTCACGCCCCTTTTCTGGCAGAGCGAAGCTTCGAGGGGGGTTGGGGCAGGAGCCGGAGTCTGGTGGCAGAGACAACTGCCACGGGCATGCTTGCACAAGTCCCGCCTAGCAAACCGGCCGCCAAGCCATCGGTGACAAGAACCTGCCACGGTGCCGCAAGATTTCACCCGATCCCTTTTAAGATCATCTTACAACGTTGCTCTGATCTTGGTGATCTTGGCTTCAGCCAGGGGCCAATACAGTTCTTGAGAATGTGCCGTGCTTTAGCCCGGAGCTCCTCACAAATCACTTGTGATGTTTCATCTTGAGGTTGCGTTCTTGGCGGCTTCACGGGCAGGGGCCGGAAGGGTCGGGAGGCGAAGGCCCAGATAATTCGGTGTGCCCTGCCTGTCTTGGATCCGCTGCGACATCGAAGGTGTCTTCAGTGCACATACTAGTACGGTACAAACTGATAGGACGACGTATCAACGACTTCACAGAAACAGCTTCTCACTCTGAGCTTTGTGTGCATGTCGGAAGCTTCCGTTTTCGAGTAAACGGGGCACGGTCAACCTTTTTTAGCTCCATGGCTTTGAGACTCGCTGCGTGCCTTGAAGGCGTGCCTCGTTCGAGGGATGTTCCCCAGGCCCGATTCCGGGCGGCTGTGACCGCTGGCATTTAAACCTCGTGCAGTTCGTGTTTGCAAAAGAGCACCTCTGGAGCATGATGCTGTTTACAGGAAGCAGTGGGGCGACTCCACCCGGAGCACCAAGCTGGCATTAGCAAGAAACTTTCCATGAACCAAGGGTGCGCTTGCCGAGCCGGCTACGCTTTGACGGTGGCTCTCCGATTATCTGCGTTTCGCCGTCGCGCCCTCGGCTCGGCAGAGTTGACCGAGTGTAGTCGCTGCCGAAACATGCAACTCTGGGGCTCCAGCCATGGTTGCGCTTCATGCCGCATCAAGCTACTTTGCGCATGTCATGCTGCTGCCGCTGTTGTTCTGTTGCTGTGTGCAGGAGCTTTGTTGATCAAATTTCCACATGGTACGGTACGTGTAGCCAGTGTGGCATGCCGCTTGAGCTGCCTACTCCACAGCTACTGGCATGGAAGCCTGCAGAGTGAGCTCATGCAGTCGTTGCGAAGTAGACGAATCGAAATTCCCGCAGTCGCGTCAGCCCAAATCGCGCCCTCAGCTGGGCATGAACGAGATAAGTTTCACATGCGAGTGACACGAAATGTCGAAACCTATCGAAACACTGCTTGAAGGTGAAACATCTGAGGCTGGCAGCTCTCATGTTCCGAGAGTCCAGGCTCTAAGGCTACTCTTCAGCAATACTTGTGCCTGATCATGCCTGATACTGTACCAAAAAGTAAGTTCAGAGTCACACAATTAGCATTGTGACACGAATGACAATATCCTTCAAGCTTCTAGCAAGTCAAGAGCCTTCTACCATGCCCCTACGATCAATCATAGAGGCTCGCAGAAGCTTCGAAGTGGCATGCCCTTCGGCAGTGCCCAAAGCAAGGAGCGCTCTCTTGCTGAAATAGACCGGAGATTGAGATTCATTGAGAGTCCCAATCATGTCCAGCTATGAATCCGAGGTCATTGGCGGAAGATTCTTCTTGGTGACGGTGTAAACCATGTGCCTCGTCCTAGGCTGCGAGGGCTGCAAACGCGGTCTTCTCATTGCTTTTCCAGATTTCCACATGAACTGCTGTCATTTGTCTAGACCCTTTCGAGGTTTTCCTGCCATGCTCTCGACTCCGGGGTTCGCACGCCGACGGACACAAGTTGACGAATGTGCACCGAATGGCTTTGGCAGCCTCTGCAGTCTGTTCTGGCACTTGAGATTACATCTGCAATTTCTTAACACTTTGTTCACAGGCCTGTTCTGCCAAATGCTTTCTCATGCTCTCGTAGTTCCCTTGTCTTTGCATCAACTCTTTGCCTTGGTTCGATGAATGAAACCGTCGTTGCACCAGGGGTTTGCCGACCGTCATGCTTTGCGACATCTGAGGTCGACGCCGACATGGGTCTTCTTCAGGTCCAGAGCCATGCCTTTAGCAGTCAATATGAACAGGGCTACGAACGGAGCCGACCAATTGGCCGTGTTCCGTGCGTGTGTCTGCTTTCCTATACCTTTCAATAATCAGTCGAGAAACTTCGCATCTTGCTGGGAAGCTTGCTCATAAACACCTGAGGGAGGTCTTGCACAAACACTTCTCATGCAGCTTGCGGCATGAGAGACCCGACCTCGATGCCATCATCGTTGATATCCTCGTTGCCGGCCAGGTTCAAGGAGAGGTCCTTCCAGAAAGATCGAAGTTGACCATCGACGGCTCAATCAGCTACAAGTAGCTGTTGAGACAAGGTAGATGCTGCTGACAGTGGCACTAGGTGGGCTGGCACGCTGCCTCCAGTTCTCTCGGAAGACCGGCAGCGAAGGTGATGATGTCTTGGTTGTTGAGCTCCGTTTCCCTGCGGCAGCAGCGCATGGGTGCGGATGGATCAGGGAGCCTGTGCGCATCAGGCTCCGGGCTCTGCCTCAGGTCCAGCTTGAGCTCTTGCAGGCCGGATGGCAAACATGCCCGGAGCATCTTCAACTTCTCCGAGCAAACTGCAGGCCAGATTTCAGGTTCTGGGGGCTTCATGTTCCCTGCTTGCGAGCAAAAGCATCTTGAAGATCACAGCCTTGCATGAAGGCCATGTCAAGCTCCAGGGACTTATGCCGAAGGCCGCTGTGCAAGGCTTTCACCTTTGCTTGCGGTCTCATGGCATCTTTGCACCCTGTCCTTCTCTTGAGTCAGCAGTCTGTGTTCCTCGAACCACACAGTTCTCAGCTGGTAGCTGTACTGCAGGTTCAGATACAGGTACATCAGTGAGAGGAAAGCTGAGAGCACGGCCAGCTTCCCTTGAACTCGATGAACGTCGCTGTCGCTCACGTTGCCACCCATGACGCGGCCTGTGCCAGAGGCCGGCTCCAGCTCACTCCAACAGCCACTGAGCTGCTGAGCAGGCTGCGCCAAAATGCCAAAGCGAAGAGCGCCCGCAGTTGCTTGGAGACGTGGTCGTATGCCTCATGCCTCGGCACCGCACGGCCCTTGGCGCAGATCGGCTGGTGCAAAACCTCGTCTAGGGACCCCTGCTTTTCCGCAGCCTGCAGCATCTAACATTTCAGCACATGATCCGGCCACTGGCTGCCCGGGCCTGCTCGTTCAGGTCACGGTGTGCGAAGATGTTCAATATCTGCTGCTTCTCCTGAAGATTGGTGATCTGAGCGCGCTCCACAGAGACCTCGGGCGGGTAGAGTCCCGTGCGGCTTGCTGAGACACTGAGTGTGTGTTGGACGCAGGGGACTTGGAAACACACGCCTAGCGCCATCTCCATGATCTGCAAACTGAATGACTTCTCGCGGTCATTCTTAGCCTTCCGGTCTTGACATAAGAATCTGCGGTGGCAGGAAGAGAGACGCCCGTCTGCAGAAGCAAGTTTGCCTTGTAGCCGGAGCCCGTTGTGCGCAGTTCTGCGTCTTTCTCCTCCGGTGTCAGGAACTGTGTTACCTTAGCTTGCCGAGCTGCAGGCATCGGACATTTCATGTCTCTTCATGTGAGCTTTTCGTGGCCTCCACTTGGGCCGGGGCCATCGAGGCTTTCTTGACGGGCGATTTGATCTCCAGCTTGGTCTGGACTACATCAAGCTGCGTGCCGGGATGGTCCAAGCCTGAGCTTCGTTTTTCGTAAGCGTGACAGCTCTGCGATGTGCTGCGGTTCTCAGTGTCAGGCACATGCAGAGCTCGTACATGCACCTCGGAAGGTCGAGACCAGGCTGGCTTTGCCTTGCCTCTCCCCTGAGTGAGTTACGCTACGAAGCCAAGACAAGGCACCATAGTCTCGACAGGCACGTGGCGAGCACGTTGGAATCAGTTTTTGGATCCTGTCCACAGAAAGAGTCAAGCTGACGTTTCCCTGTCGAGTCTTAGCAGGAGGCTGCTTCACATCGACAGAGCTTTCGGAGAGAGGGTTGATGTCAAAGGGTCCTGACCTCGCACTCTTAGGCCCCAGCCACCATAAGCACCACCTGGAACTTTGCGGCACTCATTGCCTGGCTCGGGCTCATAGAGGCTTGGAGCTTGGAGCTTGGGAGACATCCACGACATTCCCGACAAGAGCGGCCTTGTAAAAGCAGGTGGCCTTCAAATCCGGGCAGAAGGCGTCCTGCGGGCAGAATCAGAACGGGACGCGGACACCGACACCTGACTCCGAAGATGCCAAACCTGAAACATCTTCCAACAACCCTTCCTTCCCTTAATGGCTCTCCTGCAGCGAGTGCGGGCGGTTGGCGCAACACGCGAGCCAGTACGGCGTGTTCTGGTCCATGTTTCTGCTTTGTGTGTGCACTTTGATGGCCTCCAAAGCATTCAGGACCTTGACAAGGGCATCATGTCAGCCGATGAACTGAACGATTAGGGTCTTTGTGTCTGACGAGATCTCCCCAGTAGTGCACCAGGTAGAACGCGGGAGGCTGCAAGGGAGGTCAGCTGGATGCAACACCAAGGGGACAGGGCAGCAGGCAGCCTGCTCCTGGTTTGTCAGGAGCTCTACCAGCGAGCAGTCCTTCTCCGCACATGCCGGACCTCGGTTTTGACAACTCCAAGTCTCTCTGACTCTGCATATTTCTGCACCATTCTAGGCGGTCTCTTGGGAACACGGGGAATCGGGGCATCCAAGGATGACACGCACGAGCCACTCATGCAAGTGACACCTGGCACACGAAGTTGACAGGGATTCCGTAAGACGGAGAAGGGCTCCATGGTGGTCAAGGCAGTAAGGCGAGCGCCAGTTCATATGGTCGATGTGAACCTTGCGGCCTGGCTGCATCACGTCTGTGGCACGGTCTGCAGCACATGTGGTCAGTATTTCGTCACGAGGCCGAGGCCTGCCTGCATTGCGTGACATGTGTGATGGCTGCGTGTCTCGCCACCGGTGGCAATGATCCTCCGTCAGGGCCGTGATCGGAGATCCAGGCGCTCAGCTGCTCGCACCACTTGCATGCGGCTGGACAGCAGGCATTCCTTTTCGCAATTCGTGGCATGACCACTGTACAGTCGGCATTGAATCTGCATGCTCAAAAGCCGTAGTCAGAATGCTCTACAGTTGCGTGCTTGGTAAAACCTCGGACTCAGATACTGGATGCACACAGCTCCGAAAGGAAGTGGAGCGTGTAACTAAATTCGACTACGCTGCGCATGCTGCGCTTGGATGGTCTGAGGCTCCCAGGCCCCACTTAGCCAACCAGCCCTCGACACTCAAGCTGGCATGCTCACGAGTGCTCTCACGGGCATTGTCGTAGTAGCGAGTATCCGCTCCGCCTGAACGAACGTGAGCTAAGGTCAGCTCCGCGATCCACTGGCGCAGGGCATCGTCAGGATTTGGATCGACCATCAAAGCTCGGATGGAGAAGAGACACTTTTGAATCGACAGCGACGGACTCCACGCTTCCTTCAGGATGTCTAGGCCTTGGGAAGCTGCCGTGAAGAGCAGTAATTAACCACCGCAGCACTTTCTCTAAACTCGAGACCATGCCTCAACCTGCCTAGCAGTGAACACGCTCTTCCGGCAAGATACATATTGCGCCGTTTGTATTCACATTGCAGTGGTAGATGGGCGTGCGGAAGTGAATCTTGGGCGCGGAGAAGGGATAGTCATCTGGGATGACAACATCCAGGGCGAAGACACCTCCCTCGTAGGGCGAGCCAAAGGGCCCCTCGATGAGGACACGCCAGAAGTTGAGGCTTTCCTGGCTGGCAGCTGAAAAAACACGGTTTGATGCTTTTTCACCGTAGATAGTCTGTCTAAGACTCCTGACTCGGGAAAGAAGTGTAGTGTCTCTGTTTAGTGCAAGGAGCGGTCGGTAGAATATGGATTCCAGCAGTGGCTGCTTCTGCGACTTGCCTCAGCTCGGCCATGGCTCGTCTTGCAGCCGCCGAGCCCAAGGAACCGTGGGAAATGGCACCGAAAGAGCCTGCCGAGTCCATGGCCACCACCCTGCTTTTCGCATGTTGGTCTCGGGCCACATCCTGAACTCTGGGCACGGCACTTCCCTGCGTGATGCTCGCCTGAGAGATGTTCCTCAGGTCCACGGCCTCCCGCTGCTTGAACTCCGGCTTTTCTGCCCCGCCACGGCGTGCCTTCAAAGAGACGACTGCTTCGGACTCCAGAAGTTCGAAGCCCTCGCCAAGATTGCTCACCTGGTAGCACTCGCCTTCTGCGGCAGAGACGATACGCCGCAAATCGGCATCGGGAGTGTTTCCCACGATGATCGCATCGACCACAGCACCGATGGAGTTGACGGCTTCAAGGGCAGCCTGTGGAGATGCGCCTGAATTGTTCTGCCCATCTGTCAGCACAAGAACACGCAGGTCAATCCTTGTATCCGCTTCGAAGTATCGATTCAACATCTGCGTGGCTTCGATGATGGATGAATATATCGCCGTCTGACCGCGCTTCTTCATGTCGTCGACAATGGACTCGAACTTGTCCAAGCTGGGTGTTGCATCCAACAGGAGCTCAACCTTGTCATCGAACTGAAAAAGGCCGAGGTGGCAGCGCCCAGGGCCCATGCTTTCAATCCTATCGCGGAAAGCGTAGAACATGGCCTTAACAGCTTCCATGCGCGTGCGCTCTGCCACGGAATCTCGACACTCACCTTTCACGACGTTGAGAGTGACCTCTTTGAAGGGCGTTCCCATCGAACCAGACCGATCAATGCAAATGGCGATGACCTCTTGCACCGGCACTTCCTCTGCTGGGCTCAGCACCTCCTGGTCCGCCTCCGCGCCTTCCTTGATTCGGCTTCGTTCTGCCGTTCTTTCTCACTCTCTCTCTCTCTCTCTGCATCCGCTCCTTCTCCCAAGCAGAAGTGGCGAGTTAAGGCTGCTGGGCATGGAGCCCGGGAGATTGTATCATGAGTCGACCGGAGACAGACCTAGCAGACCTGGCGGTCGGACGATCAGATACACGGGTGCAAACGTGTTTCACGAGGAATCAACTTGGCACTGTCCAGAAGATCAGTCACACGGCATGCAGCGACACTGCAGAAACGCGTCATGTTGACCATGATCAGTCAAGGCTTACCCTGACCCCTCCCCCACTGTGAGTATGCACCCTTGTATTGACTTGTATTGAGGATGGAGATAGCGGCTCTTCCAGACGACTGCCTCAACCCAATACTCTCGTGTGCCGCTATGTTCGATCCTAAACGGGCCCCTCTCTGAGCGAGTCGCCACCTGCCCCCATCTTCGCTCATCCCCCAACGCAAGGCTCTGAACTTTTGCTTGGACTCTGGCCGTGTGACAAGACCCACGCAGACACATCAATATCGGTTATGCAAAGTTATGTACGATAAAACGGCACATCCATCACTGTTGCACAATCTCTTCCAGCCGCAGCATGCCAAAGAGTAAGCAGCACTTCCCGCACCGTCCCACGCGGTCTCACTACCTCTCTCTTTGCTTTGCTTGGGTGTAAGGCGTCAGCAGGCCTGAGGCTCTCTCTCGCTCTCTCTGCATCGGCAGTTGTAAGTTTCTAGGCAAGGCACTCGAGGCGCCACTGGAATGCTAGACAGCTCGTACAGTGCCTGGCGAAACTTCTGTGCAGTCACCAACTTCATCCCGACGGATTCGATGATCTGCTCTACCATGGCTGCCTAGGCCAGGCGAGGCACTGGAGACGGAAAAATGTATTCCGCTTTGCTTTGGCTCTTCCGCTTCTGGTGCACTCTGCCAAGAGACGTCGAGCAGCTTGAAGTCTTCCAGGGATTCTGCATCTGTCAGCTCGATAACCTTCTCAACGTATTTGCCGAGGCCTTTGGCATTCAGCCATCCTGCCACTGACTGGTCCTCGGCGGCATCGTTAACTACCTCCCACTCTGCCATGGGCGAAGTTTCAAGCGAATTGAAGAGAAGGAGCTGCGCAGCGTGGTCTTTCTACTTTCGAGCCACAGCATATCGCCCATGCAGGCTTCCAACACTACATATTCATGGCCTCTGGCGGCCCGGAGTTCAGTATGCAATGCGCTGCAGGCCCATGCCTTGCTAAAGTCAACTACCCTCTGCAGCTGCTCCAAGGTAATGGCGCGATCCTGAACATGCGGGGTGCCGAGACGAAACGGCCTTACGCATCTCATCTCGTGTATCTCCTCTGATCGGTCGATGTAGCCCTGGAAAGTGAACTCCTGTCCGACAGAAGCTTTGAAGCGGCCCGAGGGGCTTCGGGGCCTTCGGCTCAGGATCTCTCGGATCTCCTGCTTGAGTTGCTCCAGGTGCTTCTCATCGGAGGTACTGGTGAACGGCAGCTTTGCGAGTCGCTCCACCTCTTCACTCACCGTCGGATGCCACCGTGCAGCCGTGAGATGCCGTGATGCAGCAAGCCTCCCGTCGTTCCTCCTCTTCCTCTTTTATCTTCTCCTCCATGAGGATCGCCCTGCGAAGTGTTCAACGGAGAACTCTGCTCTCTTGATTCATCTCCCAAAGAAGGCTGGCCTGTGGTCAGTGAAGAAGACCACGGTCACCGTCCTGCGGCTTCAAGGCAAGGAAGCGGCTGCCACCCTCACTTCGGTGGAGACTCCAGGGCAGCCTCCACTGCCACATCGCATCCTGAAGCTTCTGCCACACCTCCGAGGCTTCACCCTTGAAATCTGTGCTCCGGCAGATTACATGCCTGTGGGGGCTGCGAGAGCCTCGGCTCCGGTGTTCATGATGACACCATCGATCATGTAGATCCGCCACCCGATCTGAACCTCGAGGCGGCAAAGAACCGTCGCTTGTTGTCGTTGTTAGTGACTGTTAGTGCTGTTGCTGCTACGGTTGCGGCTGCTTGGCATTGATGGTTGAGTTGCTGGTGATGGATCTGGAGCTGCGGCGGCTGTTGCCGTAGTTTCTCCTTTCAACCCTTTGTTGCATCTTCTTCCAGTCCGTTAGATGGCAACATATCGCTCATCCAGTGGCAGGTGCCTGTCTTGCTATTCTTCATACTCACAAGAGTCGTAGCCGTTGTCACGCCGAGCACTTGGGAAATCAGACATCTGTGGACGAAGTAGATTGAAACGTCAGATGTGGATTCCTTGACTAACGTCGTGGATGCCCCCGCGTACAGACATGTTGCCACAGAGACCCCTGATGAAATCACCACGTTCGGCTCCTCTACTTCAATGCCTCCCAAAGGGACCTCCGACATTTACGAAGCGTCGCAGCCAATCCAACGCATTGTGTTGCCACGTGTCTTGCCATTCGCGTTTGCCATTGCGCTGTTGCATGAGCTGCGAAAATAGACAAAGAGGTTTGAAGATTTCAGCTGAGACCCAGACCCCAAGGTCCTTCGCTTGGCCCTTGGCATTGGTGACAATCAGATTCTGCCACTGGAGACCGTGGCCTCAGTCGACTCAGGCATGGCAGAGCCGCTGTCTTCTAGACTGCCTTTGGGCCGGGCCTCCTTTGGCGAATCTGAACTCCAACTTCAGCAGTGTCTGGGGCTTGAGGCCAGCACCTTTGTCACAAAGCTAAGCTGAGCCAAATGAGCCAAGCCTATACTCCCGGATAGATCGGATAGATGGCCACTGCAGCTGGGGTGCTGAGCTCCTTTCGTGGAGTCACTAGGCGGCCGGCGGACCTGCACAAGAATGGCAGTTCTGCCAAAATGCTGACAAACTTCCAAACGGCTTTTCCGACTCTCGGACGCATGCCAGCAGGCACAGTGAAAATAGATCCCTGCTAGCCAGAAGCTTGTTTACTCAAATAGTTTGGCGGTGACTTGGTGGAACCGTGCGAGTTGGCTTCATGGAGGCGGCTGGGTTTTTGGGCCCCTAAGGCCCTAAACCCCAAACCCTTGAAACCTAAACCCTAGACCCTAAAAGCGTAAAACCCTAAACCCTAAAACCCTAAAACCCTAGAACCCCAAACCCTAAAACCCTAAAACCCTAGAACCCCAAAACCCTAAAACCCCCATAGTGGGGATTCCGTTCCCAGCCGCCTGTCGACACTCGAGAGATTTCGCGCCACAGGCCGCAAGAAATCAATCTCTACTCTCCTGGCCTGAGTATACTATAACTATACTATAACATACTATGACTATAATGTCTTATCATATACTATAGTTGTAATATACTATAGGTATAATACGCTAAAATATATCATGATACACTATGACTGTAATATATAGTTAAACTATAATATACTATAACATACTTTCCTTGTCCTGATCTGCTACCCCGTTCGTCGCATTTTCCTGCATAGGAGAACCTCATCTCCTTCAATGCTCTAGCACGTAGGACGACGTAGAATTTCGGGCGAAATCTGTGTTGTCTGTGACTCTGTCTTGTAACAGTTTGCGCTTACTGGATAGGCAAAGCACTGCGGAGGTTGAGGGGCAGAGACCTTGCACATTTCAACCGGTCGCCCGGGACGGGCTCTGCTAACTGGCGCTTCGTACATACCAGGCTTGCAAAAACCAGGATACCAATTGCAGCGAGTAGCGGAAACGACTTTTGAGCCAAGCGTGTTGATGCAAAGGTGCTTCAATCTTTGCAACTATAGGCTTGCGCAGCTACAAGACTGGAACGCGTTCCACCTATGCTCCGTGCACTCGCTAGCATGGCCAGAGGAGAGACCATTGTGCTTCGGTATCCGGTTGTAAGTGGTGCAGTGTCTGCCTGGAGTTGCACTGAAACGAAACCAGTCGAAAAACGAGTTTTGAATGTGCCCATATTTAGCAGAGGCTCTGTGTTGTATCCCCCATGCCCCAGACGGTATGGGACCATTTCTTGAACATCCCTACCCCATGGTCTGTCTATCCAGATATTATTCTCGCCCATCCCGACAGACGAAACAGGTCTCGTTGGGCCTTGGTCTCGTCAAAATATTGAGACCATTCAGCGAGGCTGCCTTCGACTGGCTGGTTCCAACCCTTGGAGCATGCAATCTCCAGCACGCGCTTCGACTCCATGCGGTCCATGCAGCTCACTTACATGATGTTTGAGGCTGGGACAATGGGGGGTGATTGCCTCCTAAGATCAACGAGGCTGCCGAACGGGAAGCACGCATCCTGAGGCGCCGCAACTGTCTCTGCTAAAACTTGCAACAACCTCTTCTGTGCCACAGCCTCGAAGTCTGCCGAGCTCTTTCAGTCCTCACCACCTTCGCTGAAGAATGGCATCACGGCGAGCCAACATGAAGACGCAGCTCTTGACCGAGTGCAGCGCATTGGGGGCAGCTTCCACAAACCCTGAACGTCCCTGCGAGACTCCCCTTTCGCAGCCCTGTAGCTGCAGTCACATTACATTCGTTCGATGTCGAAGCAACAGAAAACAACAGGAACTTGCGCAGACGGAAGACAGCAAGCGCCGAAGCCCAAAAGTTACTTGCCTCTCGGCCACTTCGTCATGAGCTGTTGCAGAAAAGCGTCCAAGGAAGAGCCTTGGCCTCACCCCTTTTTTGCCAGTCCAAAGTTTGTGGAGCTGTCAGTCAAACAATGAGAAAAAGCCAATGCGAGAGACAATGCGCTAAACAAGTCTATGCACACCATGGTTCGAGAACGGAGTATAAATTCCGTCTCAGGCAAGACTGCCTCGAGGAGGTTTGGACTCATCCTAAAAAATGCTTGTGCGCTGCAAGAGTCCGTCGTCCAGCGTCAAGGGCCGTACGGCCTTGATCGTCTGAGTCCGTGCAGCTTCACAAGACTGAACATTTACGTGATGGACTGCCGTGTCGCTCACAGAAGCAATGCAACTCACAGGTTTAGTAGGCGGTCAAAACAGCGATACCATCAGCACGACTAGAAGCAACAACAAACAACCGAGAGCATCCCAACACCACATCTCTAGCTCTCTTTTATTCTTAGATCATCAACTGGAGCAGAAGGGAAACTAGCACATAGCAGAACCACCAGCCTGGCACCTGACTAGTTGCGCTTCCGGTGTTTACGAGTGGGGCGGTCCAAATTTCTGCCGAATTAATCTGGTTCGGTCTTCGCCGTGACATAGGTCCGAGACCGGCACATGCATCGACGCGCCCAGCAGCAAAATAATCAGTGGGAAGCATGTGCTTTCTCCCTTCAGACGGGCCTAGAACGGTCTTATCGTGCATACCAGAACTTCTTCGTTCCATGTTCAAAGCTGGGCAGCTGGGGTATGCGAAGCACGGAGCTGCAAAGAGCTCTGGGTGCTCAGGAAAAGAAACACCCACAGTTTCGAAGGGGAACGCACTGTACACTTACTTCAGCTAGCAGTCAGGCCTTGAGATCCGCGGAACGACCGGACCTGCCATTCGGGACTCAGACTGGTTATGCCAGGCTTTCACTCCCGGCCTGGTCCGTAGGGACATATTCCGGATCACTCCGAGGGAAACGTCGGTGTCTCAGAAGATTGGGTGGCTCCAGGCCCAATGCCTACCAAGGGCATGCGATCATGGGTGTATGCTGGGCCTGGTCTTGTCCCATCTTGCCTGAATCGTCAACAGGCTCTGCCTCCTTTGGTCGGATGTCTCACTGGAAGCGAGGGGCGTCGGCCGTTCTTGGAACGATCGGTGCAAGCGCGCCGCAATGGGATCCTTCAGCACACAGCGGCGCGAAGGTTTCAAAGCACTCGACAGAACCCAGGCCTGGTGGTAAGAACTTCCCATCAAGGACTACAAGAGCCTTTTGGGGGCTCTTGATTTGCTTGCACTACGAAATGACCGCGATAGCTGCAGCTCTGCTCGAACCATCCGGCTGCAAGAGGCCATGAGTAAAGCGGCTCTGTCCCTTCGGCTGATGCTCCGCAATATCAGCTAGCAACGCCACAAACGTTTTCTTCGTCCAGCAATGCATACCCGTGCCATGCTGATGAATTAGCACCTACTGTGACTATGCCCGTCTCAGACATCCGGAGCGGGATGTAGTTGTAGACCGTTGGGGAAGGAGCGTACATCAGTCGCATCTGCGTCACGAGGCCTCCGGCTGACTTTTCATGAGTTCTTGGCCCCCTTGACGCCTCATCTACTCGCTTGGCAATAGTCTTTGCCTGCCATACACAACTGTGTGAGCTTAGTTCGAAGGCCCGAAAGGTGTTGCCTCGACAAATGTTGCTCGGCAAGGACTGGAGGAGCATTCCTCGCGGTGTCCGCGGACCATGCCACGATGCGTTCCTCAAGCATGAGACTTAATGCCGAGGCGTGACTGCCGTATGCGGTGGTGTCCTGAGATCTCTTCTGCAGGTTTGCCAGCACCTGCGATCCACTGACCCGGCAAACGATCTTGGCTCTTAAACGGTGGTTGCATCAGGATCGCCAGTGCCCTCACAGGTTGGTGACCGGGATTTGCCGAAGCGCCGATCCGATCCTATCCGAACCTCATGTCGCATGATGTCACAGGCAAGCGGTCCTCACGCTGGCAAATCATTCGGGCACGCAGCTCGGCGTAAAACCCTGGCCATGTCAGTCCACTTAGAACACAAAGTCTTTGCTAGTCGAAAACAAAAAAGAGTCCGAAGCCTTCGGTGTTGAAGCGGCTGTCATCCGCATGTACTGTGAATAGGTGTGACATAGCTGCAGACACAGCTACATGTAAGGCACCTTCCTGCTATGTTGATGCAGTACTGTACGATCTGCATGCCCGGGTCGCCCATGGAGGCTAAAGACGAGTCGAAGTGCAAAGGCAGCCATGAAGATCCTCACTTGCCCTTGGGCCATCAGCAAATCACAGCTGGAAGATAGGAGCCAAAACATTCCGCACAAAGAACTTTGACAATGCTGACAGGCTGATGTCCTCAAGAACTCAACACCGTGAAATATGAAAGCGTCCGGCAGCTTCAGAACGGACAAAAATTACCACTCTGCAAAGCATGCATTGACAAACTTCTGGCATGAAGGTGCGACTAGGTGATTGCTCCCCACAATGTCTGTAACTGCCCGTGTCGAACAGCACATTCGACTGAGAAGGGCTGGCTGAAACTGACTACGAGTGAAACGGGAAGTATCAAGTCCCTGTTACGTTGGCGCCGT